CCCCAAAACTGGATCAAAATCAATTCAAAAGGTGATATTCGTAATCACCGTGAAATTTTGTATCGAATGATATAGTTTTAAGTGAAAAATAAGAACTTGCAATTCTTTTGAATTAGCGGCGCCTTATATATGTTCGATTTAATGTTAAAGATAAGTCGCTTGCATAACTTGGGGTTAACGTTTTGTCTGCTGTTTGGCCTTGATTGTTTATATTTCTGGGTGATCTGGGTGTTGTAGAAACAATATTGAGCGGGGCAAAGTAAGTTTTTAACGAGAAGAAAGCGCTGGTAATGCAAAATGTTCTGCCGCAGTGATAAGGACTTTGGTGATATGTATACGCGCCGAATATAAAAAAATGAAAAAATATGGAAATTGGATTATAGATCAAAAATATCGGTTTATTTTATAGAATATAAAAGTGCTGAGCGTATCACTTCAATAAAACCTGTTTGCAACTTTACAATGTTCCGTCGTAATCCTTTCATAAATACCGAATAATCGCTGCTGCAATTGTAAAAGTTGTTATTCATCAAAGCGATATTGTCAAAGCAATATTTTTGCATTAGACATATAAAATATGTACTCGATTGCGCTGATTCCGAATTTCATACACAAAAAGTTTTTTCCAGCGTATCAATGGAAATCTCGTCGATAAACTAATTTCCTATGTGATGAAAACCATTGTAATGCGCATGCATTTTGTTGTACTAATTGTTGTACTATTTTACAACATAAAAATTGTTAGCTATGTTGGCGCTCGGTGTTACCGAAAGTTTCTCCTCCTCATTGCGCAGAAATCTCTACGGGGTGAGGAGGTATCAAGGATTCTTGATCTTCTGCGCTTCTCAGTTAACCGTTGCGCGCTAAAAGGGAGTCCAGAAACAATCAGCAAATTAGAGTAACTTATGAAAGTGGCATCAGAATAGTGCTTCGCAGCTGGCTCAGACGCTAAAGGCAGAGGAGGGTTTAGTGGTTGATTCCTCGGAGCTCCACTCAACCGTGCCCTCACACACAAGGTACAGATCCGAAATTACCAAGGTCTAATCCTTATTCATGACTGCAACATACGTTTACCAAACATTTAGCGAAAAATAAGGTGGTCTCTAAACTCTCATGGCGAAAAGATTGTATCGTGTAGTATCTTAGGAAGAAAGCAATCTTGATTTGGAGATGAAAGAGTGCTTTTTACAAGAAAAATGAACCACGAAAGAGAGAAAAGCATAAGAGTGTGATAATGACAAGTTGATCACCTAGTGCAAACATTTGAGCACTTAAATTCTTTGTTGTAGTCCTGCTATCGACCGTAGAACTTGTTAACAGACTTGTTGTTGTCGTAGACGAAGTAGTTGAGGCAGTTGTTGTCATATTAAACAAGATCCATGTATAAAACTGATTTGATAATTCTTTGATTTTATATAGCTGTTCTTTCGTATTGCATAGATTTTGGTTATTACAGCGATAAGAAAAACCATTTTGGTCATCAGATGGTAATGATGGATTATTTTGTATTATTTTACTTTCTAAACTCGGACCACTGTCTTTGGGATCACAGCGTCGGTCTTCTGTAATCGACCCATATTTAATCTGTAACGATCCATAGCATAGACTACAGTTCACTGTTTGATTAGTCCAAGTATCATAACATTTATGAACTGGACTAGTAGTACTTGTGTTAGCAGCAAATGATAATTCACTTTGAATTTCGTCCAGGATTGATTCCTTGAAATGAAACCAACTCAGTTTTCGTCAGCTTTGGAGGGGACGTTCTTCCGTACTCAACCCGACCTCCTCGCTCAAAACAAAACCTATTGCTTACCTTCTGAATTAATTTTTCAATAATATCAAAATAAAATTTTTCAGCGCAATTATCTTCTGTACTACAAATATACGTTGTAGCAACATATTTCATATTAGAAGATACCAAAGCTACGGTTTGATCTATTTTGTAATTAACGAGTGATGAATGCAAGCCTTCGTAGGGTAAACTAAAATCAAGAATCCAAATTTGTTTTATTAGATAGTTCATTTGAAACATAACTTGACATTGAGTAGCATTTGAGATGATACGATTTTCACATGTTGAGGATAATGGTCCGGATGCGTTAATGAACGCTATGTTCGATTGTGTACAATCTGTGCATTTAATACCATTAACAATAGTGGGTAAGACCAACAGGAAAAGTGTTGCTTCTGTTAACATTAAAAAACAGAGATACAGGGAAAAAAGGTGTTTGCCACACAATAAAATATTCACACAAGATCTGCTTGTGTTTATAATGTGAGTGATAGTAAAGAGACATAGAGAACAAATAATGACACATGCTGTTTTATTTTGTTTTATGACTCTACTGTTGTCAATGTGTCATACAATTTACACTTCATTTTATAATAACCTTTCTTGTTGGAATAGTTTTAAATTTTACTTACAATCCAGTTAGACATAAGTTACAAGTTTCTTTCGAACACAAAAAGATGGTATGTTTATGAAATGTCAGCTGCTTAACGAACAATCACCATCCAAGTCAATAATTTTTATCAAAGGATCTTAAAGGATCTTGTGAAATTGAAGCCTTATGCAAAAGTTTATCGGTTCCCATATCAAGTATGGAAAAAATAAGCCAGTAGCGCCACATGCAGCTAGCTTCATAACCCGCTGCAACTAGCTATAAAAAATTTAAAAATTTTGAAACAAGTTAACGGGTATGGATGGCTCATTACTTATTACTCGGTGTTACTTTATTCAGACGGGAAATTAAACGAGGAAGTTTACGTTCGTATCGATGGTTATATTGCCACAAACTCTAGTTTAAGACCCTATCCTCTCTGCCATCGTACATCCGATCTTGACGAAACTTTCCACAAATGCTGGGTTCAATGA